TTTACTACAAATAGTTAATTGGCTAATTTGGCTAATATTAGTAATATTTTATCAATTGACCAATTTTTGTAATAAGCTACTTATAAATGGACATAGCCGATAATTTTCCAATATTTTACTATTATATTATCAGATCAGAATTAATTAAAGGTATTTGTCCCAATTGGAATAATGTACTAGCGTTTAACAAGTATGCATTTCGTCACGAGAAATCTTGTTAAAAGTCAAAATCTTTTATATCACTGAGAGTCAACTTTTAGAGGGGGCAAAGTATAGTACCGCAAGACAAACATGTGTGATACAAAATGACATAATCGAACATGTTTATATAAAAATGAAATTAGTCAATTATTAAAATAAAACACAGCAAATAAAAATATACAAAGATCTACTGTGATACTCGCAAATTTCACATTGATAAAATACGAAAAAGATACTAAGTATATATATAAACAAACCTTAAATCTTAGTAATACATTTTAAAGTTGTGTGGGCCCTAACTTAAAGCGGACAATATTATTGGTAGACTGAGCTTTTACTTTTAATACAACTAGTCGCTAGAGATAACACTCCAATCAACTAAAAGATATTTCGAGTTTTAAATTGTGTGTTTACAAATTCTCGGGAATTTCTCGATCGTTTACCAAAAAAATAATTGAGATTGTAACATCCAATCTGTTCGCCAAAGGAGGTGGGATGAATCGAAACTTTTGTTGCATTTACATAATATCTTTGTATGGTCGAGCTGAATGGGAGCTTTGACGTAACTAGTAAAGTTGTTGTCATGTGACCAGGAGGTCGCGGTTTCAAGCCGTGGAAACAATCTCTTGCAGATATGCAAAATAAAGCTGCGTGAATTCTGCGCATAGCGGGAACATAGTGCCAGGGGCGGCGCAAGAAAATTGGTGGCCTAAAACCAATTTTTAATGTGGGGCCTATCAGAAAGAAAAAAAATCATCTATATTTTTAATGGAAGTCTATTTTTCTATCTTTTTAAGATGTAAAGTTGTTAATAGTTTCTTTTATAAATAATTTAATCTCTCCTAAGATATTATTGATCTTAGATAATTGAACTAGATTCAAGAAGTTTATAACTTGATATCAAAATAATTTTTGATGTTCTAATATACTTGTTGAAATGCTTGAAACCTGAGGGGGGAAAAAAAGAAAAAAAAATGCGCAATATAGTTTTATTCAACGGTACTCTTCAACTTTTGTTTTTTATAGAAAAAATAAAACTCTTTTTTTCTACAGAAAACAATATAACTTCGAGAACTTAAGCTTTTTTGTAGAAATCAAGAAGAGAATATAAGAATGTAGTACCCGTTTTTTTATGAGAAAGATAAAAAATAAGACTTGGACTATTGAATTGCACTTTTTAGTGAGAAATGTAAAAAGAGAATAATAATATAGGTACCTCACTAATGATGTCAATCGTCAAATTTATATAATGAAAAGTTTTATATTCGCGAAGACGGTTTAGGGGGAGTGATTCTCTTTCTCCTATTTTTGCTTAAATGGTTACTTCAATACTAAATTAAAAGTTATATTTACTTTTTATGAAATAACTTTTTTTAAAATTTTAACATACCCAATATATTTAGACCCTACCTCTAAAGATTGTTGTGAGATGTATATGATCCAACTTACCTTATATTGGGTTCGAGTCATGTGATTGAAATAAATCCTGTTAAAACGTGTTCTTTCTTTTACTAGGCCTTATGCAATACGAATCTAGATTAATCGGGAGCTCAATACAAATACAAATAGAAAACAAAAGGAAAAATTTGGGTCCTTCAAAATTTGGGGGCCTAAAGCCTTTGCTTTAGTGGCTTGACCCTCGGGCTGCCCCTGCATAGTGCATCAGGCTGCCCCTTGTATGGTTAATCTAGCTGCGCCCATGTTTTGTATGCTAAAAAAAATGTGAGGTTATCATTTATTAACAATGACAATGCATGTGATTTACCAGTTAATGATTTGCTTTTTTGGGTAATTTCCAAATTCATTGTTTGGAAGGATCATACGATGTTCGTAGCTTCAACTTCTAAAAATAAAATAAACAAAGATTGTGGATTACTCCAATTTAGGTGAGATGTGCAATATTTCAATAAAATCCTAATTTAGAAAACGATTCTAAGAAATTGTGTTAAAAATAGTGTTATCTTTCTCTAGTACATTCACGCCTCTTGAAAGTGAATGTTAATAACCCGCTATAACATGTCAAACTATATTAATACATAATAAATTATTCTTTCCATTAATTACGTATTTTATGCCTTGTAGGAGTGATTCCGAGCTATGTAGATGTTATGGAATAAATTCAAGCTAATTGGAGCTTTGAAGTCTGAGTAAAAGCCCAAGAGATTAAGCCGAAATCACGTTTGGGGGTCGAGAACCATGTCTGGACTTAAAAAACGAAGCAAAAACACAGACTCTGAGAATCCACCACAATCGCGGCTGCCTATTTTCTGCTGCTGTCAATTTTGCACTCTCTCTGACAAACCCCGCGTGGCGTGTGCCCCATGCGGCGCACTTGTGCAATTTTTACAGAGTCCCAATCCTATTTCGTGTTGGAAAAGGTATTTTCGTCTAGGCACGACCCTACTTGGTATGAATACATGTAAAAACGTTATTTTTGGGATTTTTGATATACTTTAGACCTAGGGACACACGGGAGCATTCGGGAGCAAGGATATCTCAGATTTCTTTATCGGTTCTTAGTATTTTCAATTATCCAACACTTATGAAATTGTTTGTGTTACATCCCGTGAATTTGACAACATTAATACTGTTATATATATTTGATATGGTATTTTGAGTGGAATAATGTACTATGCGTTTAACAAGTATGCATTTCGTCACGAGGAATCTTGTTAAAAGTCAAAATCTTTTATATCACTAAGAGTCAACTTTTAGAGGGGGCAAAGTATACTACTGCAAGACAAACATGTGTGATACAAAATGACATAATCGAACATGTTTATATACAAGAAATTAGTCAATTATTAAAATAAAACATAGCAAATAAAAATATACAAAGATCTACCGCGATAACCCAAGCAAATCCTACATTAACAAAATACGAAAGAGATGCTGAGTATACATATAAACAAGCCTTAAATCTTATTGACGCATTTTAAAGTTTTGCGGACCCTAGACCTAAAGCGGATAATATTATTAGTAGACTGAGCTTTTACTTTTAATACAACTAGAGATATCACTCCAATCAACTAAAAGATATTTCGAGTTTTAAATTGTGTGTTACTAATTCTCGGGAATTTCACAAATACCAAAAAATAAAATGAGATTTTAACATCCAATAAACTTTTGTTGCTTTTACATAATATCTGTATGGTAAAGCTAGCTGCCCATGTTTTGTAAAGTAAAAATAAATGTGAATTTATCATTTATTATCAATGACAATGCATGTGATTTACCAGTTAATGATTTGCTTTCTTGGGTAATTTCCAAGTTCATTGTTTGGTAGGAACTTCCAGAAACTAAAAATAAAATAAAATAAAATTGCAGATTACTGTAATTTAGGTGAGTGCTTAATATTTCAATAAAATCCTAATTTAGAAAACGATTCTAAGAAAAAGTTTAGTATTATAAATAGTGATTTTTCTCTAGTATATTCACACCTCTTAAAAGTAAATGTTAATAACCCGCTATAACAGGTCAAACTATATTAATATTAAAGGTGTACATGGATTGGGTTGGTTCGGTTTTTATCAAAACCAAATCAAACTAACTATATCGGTTTGGATTGGTTCAGTTTTGTCGGATTTTTCGTATTTTCGGGGTTTTTTTTGTTACATGAATATTATTTCAATCTTACTTTGTTAAAATTATAAATAAAGCTTTGATAAGTGAATATATGTTTAGTAAATATGGAAAAAATTGACAAACATATGATCTATTTAAATATTCTAATGGGAGAATTTTTTTAGAAATACGTGATAGTTCTTTTCTTAGTCGTCTAACAATAATTTTTCGTTAATTTACGCTTTCAAGGTTAATACATGAGAGGATCCCAAATATTTCTATGTTTTCTAAAGAAAATTCACTATAAAGTCTTAAAAATATAAATAAAATTTATATATTTATATATCGGTTTGGTTCGGGTTTTTTATTCAATACCAAACCAAGTCAAACCAAACCTAGCCGGATTTTTTAATCGATTTGATTTAATTTTTCGATTTGGTGCGATTTTTCGGTTTGGTTTGAACACCTCTAATTAATACATAGTAAAAATATTCTTTGCACGATTAGTGTATATATATCTCTAGTGCATTCACGGTGCTTGAAAGTGAAGGGACAAAAAGAAACAAAATGGGATTAATTTTTTTTATAAGCAAAAGTCTTACGATTTTGAGACCATCAACGCAAAAGTTGATGATACTCAATTATTACAAGTGATTTGATTTTGTAAATATTTTTTATATTGTCCCTCGAAAAAATTTATAAACTCTATAAAAAACAAGGAAATAATAGGTCATCCAAAACTACGGGTGGGCGTTCGGGCAGTTCGGATTGCATATGAAATTTCGGTTTGGATTTTTGATTTTCGGATTGACAAAATGAAAATCCAAATCCAATCCAAATAAGTTCGGATTGGATCGGATTTTTTAAGTTCGGTTTCGGTTTAATCAGTTTGGATATTTTGAATTTTCGGTTTTGAGCTTATAAGTTGAAATGTCTCTTCTTTTTACAAAAATGAATATCCAAATGAAGTACTCATGTTAAATTGACTGAAAAGTTCTTCATTCTCACCACAATCATCCAAATGAAATATTAAAGTAATGAAATTATTATATAAAAAAATACAATAGAAACGTTAATACGATAGATAAGAAGTGGAAATAGTAAAATCGTGTCCAAATAGAAAGTATTCTCATAATAACTTAGTAACTAATATTGAATATATATGATAATCTCTAATGGGTAGGGTATTGAACTTATTACTATTGACATATGGATAATGGACTAAATATAAAGTATAAGAATTTCGGATTTTCGGATATCCATAAATTCGAAGTACTAAATCCAATATCCAATCCGAAATCCAAAAATTTTAAAAATTAAATCCAAAGTCCAATCCGTAATCCAAAAATCCAAACCAAAAATCCAAAAAATTTGGATTTCGATTTGAATTTCGATTTTGCCCAAAGTATGCCCACCCCTATCCAAAACCAAACAACTTTGGTCCAATCCTAAGTAAAGGTTGCAAAGTACTAGGATGAAACTTCCTCCCAAAAAGAAAACTAATTGAACTCAACTCTCCATTATAACTACAATTGGACCCATACCTAACACTATCCAAAAACTCCTCCGTTACATCTTTCCTCAAAAATGTTGTCGGGTGCGAACCGCCAGCCGACCAATCGGCCCATGTAACGCTCCAATTCGACGTTAATTTAGGACAAACTTTGTTCACTAATGTTGGCAAGTAATGTTCGTCCATATAACAAGGTGGTGTACAATAGTTCTTAAAAACAGGGTAATATGTCACGTCGGAGATAATTTTAAGGGCGAGTTCGCGATGAACTTCGAACCATTGCGACCCCTTTCGCCAATCTGAAATTGTTATGATCGGATACATACGTTTGTTGTACCTCCCGCGACCTATTTTCCTCAGATCGTCGAATAATCCGAGGAAACTTTGGTTGGATTTTGTTAGGAAAGTGTAAATTGTAGTGAAGTTGAACAAAGGAATGCATGTTTCGGAGAGTAATATGAATCTTTCGTTAGAGATGTCGAGGAGTGCATTTGCTAGAAGTCGTCTCTCTGCATCAATCATACTTGCTCTTCCCCATTGTACTTCCTGCATGAGAAATAGNTCCCTATAAAGTTACTTAAAAGTTAATTACAAGTATCTGTCAGTATATAGAAGCTAAATTATTGGGATAATGACACTGTATTGCCACTCTAAAATAATAGCCGAAAAATATATACAAATTATACAAATTCGGTAGGTTGTATACAAAAATTATACAAATCATATATACTTTTTCAGCTAACAAATGTAAATAGCTTTTATCGCGAGCTAAAAGTGATAATGCCCCATAAATTATTCAGAAAATTTAGCTTAAATCATATAGACCAACTTAGGATAAAATGACTCTTTATTTCTCCCCAATTTTTGGTTCTTTATTCCTTGGCATCTATGAAATTTAATTCTGCATGGTGGCATTATGATCGCATAGGTAAAGTTATGGAGTTTTAGGAGTCGACAAGAAAGCGGAAAAATATAAGAAGAATTAACCTAAATAGTCGCACATCCAACTGCGTAAATTAAAAATAGTCGGTGAATGTATAATATATGCATAGTCCATATATAATATGTGTATAACCAATTACCAAT